CAGGGACATGGCCAGCAGAGTCAGTCCCTAGACCTACCAAGCTCCATAGGAAGTGACAAAAATCCCAGATTGGTGCATGAGAATAAGGATTATAAATAGTAAGAAGTAAAAACCATGTTTCCTTTTTATTTTAAAACATTTAGGCTCTTTGATCAGTGTAACTTAAGCAACTTAAGTACTCTTCATTGTGCTGGGATTTTCTGAAACTCAGAAGCCTCTGGCTCCTGTCACTTTGTGACATTGGGCAGATGACTCAATAGCTGGTGTCTGTTTCCCCATCTGTAAAATGGGGATAACAATAGAAACAGTAACACCATTCTCTTGGGCAAGTCTGAAGATGTGAAGGGTGACATGGTGGCATGCCTCATAAGGTGCCTGGTGCTCAGTGGACATCAACTATTATTGTTACAATTTCAATGTGAAATCCCAGACCCGCTCAAGCAGCGGGTCTTGGCTTGAGAATGTACCCTAAGGATTCCCTGACAGAGAAGTTTCCTCTTTGTGGAGACACTGTGTGCTTCCCTGTAGGGGTGGGGAGCCCTCTCCTTATTAAGAGACCTGTGATGAGGCAGATCTAGTTACGAGGATACTTTCATACATGGAGGAAATATCTTGCTCCCCAAGGATCCCCCCAGTGGTGCTGCTGTGCACTTGGGCCTTGAGAGATGTGTGGACACTGTGCCCCACAAGATCAGTCATGGTCCTAGCTTGGACAATGGTGGTGGGCGTAAAGGAAACCATAGGGTTGACAAGTGCTAAGCATTCTGCCGGTTCTTGCAGGTGGGATGGCCCTCTCTGCCTATCTCTATCACCCCTCAGTTAACCCCTCAGGGTTCAGTTAGCTTGAGGAGGGCTGCTGGATACTCAGCCCAAGCACCCATGTCATCAGTGGGGCTGGTCTGCGGGGTGAGGTTGGCCAGGGCTGGAATCAGGGTGAGAGGCTCGCCTGGTATGGGTATCGAGTGGGCCGAGGTTTCCTTCAGAGGGTCCAGTTATGGAGGTTAGAAGGCTTGAGTTGGTTCTTTCTGAGACTGTGGGGGAGAATCTGATCCAGGCCCCTCTCCCAGCTTCGGGTGCTGCTGGCAATTGTTACTGTTCCTTGGCTTGATGATACATCTCCTGGATTTCTGCCTTTGTGTTCACGTGGCTTTCTCCCTGTGTCTGTGTCTCTGTGTCCAGATTTTCTCCCTTTTATGAGGGCACCAGTTCTATTGCATTAGGGCTCACCCTGATCCAGTGTGACCTCACCTTAACTAACTACATCTGCACCAACTGTTTCTGACAAGGTCACATTCTGAGGTCCTGGGAGTTAGGGTGGCAACTTATGAATTGGGGGAGGGGAAAACAATCCAACCCTTTTAGGAATGGAAAATCAAGGTTCTATTTTTCCAGAAACGGGTAAATGTCACACATTTTCACCAACTAGAAAAGAAAAACTAAGAGTCCTGGGGGAGATCGGACAAAGAGAACTAGGAAACATTTCAGCACCAGGGACAGCGGCTTCTGATTTGGTTGTCCCTCCTCGCCCAGCAAAACTTCCAGAGCAGAGGGTGGTGGCATCCAAGGTTGCTCTGGGGTCCCTCCCTGCCCTCCCAGGGTCAGCAGACTTCATGTTCTGCATGTAGGGCTTCACAGGCAAGAAAGGACCCAAAGAGGAAGGGTTTTCCCCTATTTTACATCTCCCAGCAGCCTTATTTCTTGCCAGCCATGTCTAATGTCTCGAGGTCTTAGGGCTAGTTATCTTAGCACCTCTCATTTTCCTGAAGACTTTGGTGGGTTAAATTCAGAAAATGGAAACACACAGAAAAAGAATAGAATGACAGATCATGGATTTGGGGAAGATGTTTGCATCATACATAACCTCAAACGGATAAACACACAATATATAAAGAACTTCTACAGAGCAACAAGGTGCTCTGCTTCATCAGTAACTCTAGGAATGTATGTTAAAATCTCAGTGAAATACAATGGCACACTCATCACAATGACTAGCACTTAAAAGTCTGGAAAAACTGAGCTGCTGAGAAAAAAAAAAGCACTAATAGGATTATCAGACCCCATTGGAGGGAATGTGCATGGGTGCAACCCACTTTGGAAAATGGAGAGAATCGATCAAAGCTAAACATATACCAACCTTCTAACCAGCAGTCCCATTCCTGGACATGCCTTTGTCCATCAAAATATGTGTGCAAGAATGTTCCACAGTGGCTTTATTCATGGTAGCTGCTGAACAGTGAACAGCCTAAATGCCATCCACCGGGCAGTGGATATCCATGTGTAGCATATTCATAGGGTAAAATAGTAGGCAGAAACAAAAAGGGATTAATCTTGGAGACATACAACCACCCACTGTTGGGTGGAAGAAAGGTGTAACTTGGACATACACTATGATTCCCTTCATGTAAGTTCAGCACAGGGAAGCCCTCAGCCACACCGACTGGCGATGCCTGCAGCGTGGGTAGCCACAGTGCGAGCGACGACCTGGTTGTCGCCAGGGCCAGGGTGGCTCACTTCTTGGGGTTGGAAGATTGTCGCAGTGTGGGAGGAACCTTGGGGCTTCTGGTGGCCTCCAGGTTCTATTTTGGGATCTGTGGAAAGGTCACATGACTTTATAATTATTTGTTACATTGTGCACTTACATGTTCTGCACTTTTGGGGGGAGGTGATTTGTATTGTATTCTAAGTATATTTTTTTATTGTGGTGAAAGTTGCCATTTTACGATGTACAGCTCAGGGCATTACGTATGTTCACATGGCCGGGCAGCTGCCCCACTGTCCGTCCCCAGGACTGCCTCCCTTTCCCAAGCCGATGCTCTGCCCCCATGGAACACTAACTCCCCCTGTCCCCCCTCAGCCCCTGGCTCCCACCATCTACTTTCTCTCTTTTTAGATTTGACTCTTCTAGGAGCCTTGTAAAGTGAGAGCACCCAGCATGTGTCCCTTTGCGTCTGGCTCATTTCATTGGATATAATGGACATAGGTCCATCCGTGTTGTAGCAGGTGCCAGGATTTCCTTCTTTCTAAGGCTGAATGGTATCTCATTGTACATACACCCCACACTTCGTTTATCCATTCATCTGTTGATGGATATTTGGGTTGTTGCTCCCTTTCGGCTGTTGTGAGTAATGCTGCTGTGAGCATGGGTGTTCAGACATCTCTTTCAGCCCCGTTTTCGATTCTTTTGGATATCTACTCAGAAGTGGAATTGCTGAATCATACGGTAATTCTACGTGTAACTTTATTGAGGAACCACCAAACTGTTCTTCACAGCGGCTGCACCATTTTACATTTTACAAGTGTTTTTTAAAATGCTAGAGACTGTCTTCCACTCTGCCCAGTGCCCCCCGACCCCAGAGCTGCAGGTGACCCCTCAGGCCTGGCGCAGGGACCCCTCCCCATCACCCAGCCCAGTTGGTGGGAACAGCCACTGTAGCCCAGCAGAACTCAGCTTTTACTAGCTCCTGCCTGGGGCAGAATCCCGGAGCTGTTCCCAGGAGCTCCACATAGGAGGTCAGGGTGAAGGGAGGCAGAGAGACAGGCACCGTGAGTGGGAGAAGGTGGCTGTGGGGGAACATAGGGTCCAACAGCATCGGGACAGCCGGTGATAGTCTCATTTCACAGGCAGTGGAAATCAGGTGCACAGAGGTTGCTCTGGGCCCAGGCCTCTGTGTCTGTCCCAGGGGACCTGACACCAGCCCGCACCCCCACCCTGCCTCCAGTAAACATCTTTCAAAATACCTTTGACTTCATTGGCCTTTCTCTGGGCATTGCTTCCTCTTTCCTTCTCTTTGTCTCTGTCTCCCTCAGTGTTTCGTGCTTCTGTGACTCCAAACAAGCGATATGCAGCCACACCCTGGCTTGGACCCCCTTCAGGGCTGGCCCTGCCCTCTGCTGCACTGCACACCTTCTAGCTCCGTAGACACCCCTTGGCCGGTCCATCTGATGCCACTCTTGGACCATTCTCTCTGGTGGGGGAAAATGAGGCAAAGACAGGGCAGTGCCCCATCCAAGACCACAAAGCCAGCAGGCATGAGAGCCCGCTGCTCCTCAGCCCAGGGCCGGGACCTCTCCTGGCTCCTTGGAGCTGCTGGGGCCCTCCCCACTTTCCTCCCCCACCCCACCCCGACCCAGGGCAGCAGCTCTGCCCACTCCCCTGACCCCACAGCGCCCAGACCACAGTTCCGAGAAGCTCTTCATCTAGTGCCAGCCACAGGCTTAGTTAACAGCTGGGGCCCGTCTCTTCCCTTCCCTGTTCCACAGTTTGGGAAGTGGTGGGGGTGGGGGGCCAAACCACCACTACTGACCCCCCCCAAAAAAAGGTGACCTCAGGGTCCTCTTCTTATTATTTTAATTACAATAAAATACACATAACATAAAATCTACCATTTCAATCATTTTCCTCCCCCCCCAATTTTTTGCTGTAGTAAATACACATAATATTAAATTTACAATCTTAACCATTTTTGAGTGTATAGTTCAGCAGCATTCAGTCCACTCATGCTGTCATGCAGCCGTCCCCACCATCTGTCTCCAGGACTTTCTTTTCTTTTCTTTTTTAAAATTTTATTTATGTATTTTTTAATTGTTCCGTCTCCAGGACCTTCTCATCTTCCCAAGCTGACACTCTGTCCCCGTTCAGCGTGGACTCCCCCTCCTCCTCCCAGCCCCTGGCTCCCACCATCTTCTTTCTGTCTCTGTGGACTCGACCCCTACGGGGACCCCCTATGAGCAGAATCGTACAACATTTGTCCTCTTGTGTCTGGCTTATTTCACAGAGCAAAACATCCTCAAAGTCCATGCATGTTGTAGCAGGTGGGAGAATTTCCCTTTTTATGACTGAGCAGTATTCCACTGTCTGGATGGACCACACTGTGTTTGTCTGATCATCTATCCATGGACCCTTGGGTTGTTTCCACCTCTTGGCTGCTGTGAATTACACTGCTGTGGACATGGGTGAGCAGCATCCTTTTCTCTTAACAGCCCCATTCTCTCCCTTCCAGGCTGTGCCTTTCTCACTTACTGTGCCAGGGACTCTGCCATCAAAGCTCAGACTGCTCTGCACGAACAGAAGACCTTGCCCGGGGTGAGTCTGGATGCTGTCTGGGGGAGAGGTGGGGGATGGCGGGGCTGCTCTCAGCCCTGGGAAGGCAGAGGCCCTTCTTGGGACTGGCTGTGAAACCCACGTGTCTCTGGACTCAGAAAGAGGTATAGGGTGCAGAGGGACAGAAAGGATCACCAGAGTGAGCATTTATTAAGTGCTTACTACATATCAGGCCCCATGCGGCACACCAGAGTGGTTGCACAGGTGGCACCTTGCCCAGGGTGTGTCACTGGCCTGAGACCTGAAGATGAGGGAGCATTAGCAGGCAGCGAGGACAGGATGTACAAAGGCCCTGAGGCAGGACTGGGCCTGGTACGTTAGAGGAACATTGAAGCAAACAGAGCTACAGCCCCTGGATGCAGAGGCTGCTTGGGCAGTATTTCCATCCCCAGAGGGGGCCGGCCCAGGTTCTGTTCCTGCTAGGCCTCTCTTGTCAGCCTTGTCCTCTTTGGGTGGGCAGGAGGTCCCTATCCCCTCAGTGAAGGATGGGGGACCTCTGAGCCAAGTGAGCCTGGTCTCCAGGCAGCACCTCCTGATGGAAAGTGAAGGAACCACACTGAGATTCGTGGCTCGGGGTGGGGCTTGCCTTTTCCTCCGGAATTCTCTTTGAAGGGACCCTTCAGCATCAAAAGCATCCAGGGGCTGCTTAGAGCATCTGTATCCCTCAATGCTGGGAACATGGGCACAGCACAGCCTACAGTGGGAAGTCTGGGGTGTGCCTGCCAAGCGGGTTCTAGATAAGCCAGGTGGTCAGGGAAGGCCTCTCTGAGGAGGTGAGCTGATGGAGAGCAGGGAGGGAGCTGTGCATTCTCTGCAGCAAGGGCATTCCTAGCAGAGGACAGAACCAGTACAAAGGCTCTGAGGCTGTACTGAACTCAGTGCATTTGGGGGCAGCAAGAAGGTCAGCAGAGTGCAACCATGGGAGTGAGGAGGAGGATGGAAGGAGGATGGGGAAGAGGAATGGGGCAGGACCACATACGGAGTTGGAATTTCATTCCAAGGGTGGCTAGGTCACAGGAGTGTGGCCAGAGGAGAAATGACCTGGTTTGATTTTTATTTCATTTTCAAAACCCTCTTCCACCCTGACTGGTGTGGCTCAGTTGGTTGGGCATTGTCCCATAAAGCGAAAGGTCACTGGTTAGATTCCTGGTCGGGGCACATGGCTGGGTTGCAGGTTCAGTCCCTGCTCAAGGCGAGTATGAGAGGCAACTGATCAATGTTTCTCTCGGTCTCTTTTTCCCTCCCTTCCCCTTTCTCTAAAAGTAAACAAATAAAACCTTTAAATAAAAACCCTCTTCCAACTACTGGAGTCCTGGGACTGCTTAACAAAGCACCACAAACCGGGGTGGGGCAGGGCACTTAAAGCAACAGAAACACATCGTCTCACAGTTCTGCAGCCCAGAAGCCAGAAATCAAGGTGACAGAGGGCCGCCTGCCCTCTGGGAGGACCCCTTCTCTGACTCTCTCCCAGCTTCTGGTGGCTGCCAGAGGTGCCTCGGCGGGTAGACCCATCACTCCAGTAACTTCCGCCTCCCTTGTCACATGGCCTTCTCTATGTCTGCATCTCTCCAATGTCCCTCTCCCTTTCTTTTATAAGGACACCTGTCATTCGATTTAGAACTCACCCTAGATCCAGGATGACCTCATCTCCAAATCTGTCACTTAATTCCATCTGTAAAGACTCCTTTCCCCAATAAATTCACAGGTTCCCGAGGTTAGGACTTGGACATATTTTAGGGGGACTACCATACAACCCACTCCAGCGGGTCACTGCAAAGTGAATGGCCAGATGTAGGGGCGACTGGGGGCAGCATCACCCAGGACAGCCAACTGACCCGCATGGGGGACTTAATAGGGAACACACGGGACGGCTTCTTGGAGGAGGGAGCATGTGAGCTGAGTCTTGAGAGGCAGGGAGGACTCTGGCAGATGGAGATGAAGACGGGGGTGGTGTGAGGGCGACGTGTACCAAGACTCGGAGGCAGGAGCGTGCCTGGTGTGTTGTTGAGAACTCACGAGAGCATCTAGTCTAGCAGAAGAATATACGTGAGGTTAGGAGGAGTTTTCAACATAGGGTGATTCTGCCCTCAGGGGACACTGGGTGATGTCTGGGGACATTTGTCATTGTCAGGACTGGAAGATGCTGTGTGTACAGGCCAGGAATGCCGCTCGTCACCCTACAGGGCACAAGATGGCCCCCCACAGCAAAGAAGTGTCCACCCCAAATCAATAGAGCCCCAGGGGATGAGCCCGGGATGGGAGAATGAGGAGCCGGTGAGCGGTGCTAACAGAAACACAATGCAAGCCACACACAGCATTTAAAATTTCTAGTAGCAACAGTTAAAAAGGAAAAAGAAACAGGTAAAATGAATTTTAATACTACATTTCATTTTAACCCAAGATCTCTAAAATTATATTTCAACAAGCAGTCAGTATAGTTTATTAATTATAACTAAATGAAATTTAAAATCCCTGTCCGTAGTCACACAAGCCACACTTCAAAGGCTCAGGAGCTGCCTGTGGCTGGTGGCTCCCATACTGGACAATAGAGTTCTAAAATGTCCTAAGCCCAGGGTCAGCAAACTTTTTATGCGGAGGATCAGAGAGTACATAATTTTGGCTTTGCTGGCCATATGGCCACTGTTGCAGTCACAGAAAAGCTTCAGACAAGATGTAAATGAATGGGTGTGGCTGTGTGCTAATAAAGCTTTATTTACAAAAACAGGCAGGGGGTCAGAGTAAGGCTACAATTTGCCAAACCCCATTCTAGACCATTGCTGTGCAGTTGAACTTTCTCCAGTGACAGGCATGTCCTGGTCTGTGCTGTCCAATGTGGCGGCCACCAGGTCCATGTGGCTACTGACCCTTTAAAATGTGGCGAGTATGACTCAGGAACTGAATTTGTAATGTTACTTAATTTTAATAAATGTAAATTTAAGCTTAAATGATTGCGTGTGGCTGGTGGCTACCATATTAGACAGCTAAAATGTAAAATGTTCCACATCGGGGTCAGCTACTGTGTTAGCACAGACCTAGAATGTTCTGGATGGAGCCAGCTGCTGTATTGGAGAGCGCAGACACAGAATATACTAGACCAGCAGTCAGGTACCTTATTGGATAGCACAGACCTAGAATGTTCTAGACCCGGGAACATGATGCAGTGTCACCACGTGGGTAGACTGCCGGGTCCGAGGTCTCTCTTTGATACTAGCTCAGGGCTGAGTGATGAGGAATCTCGGGCACCACCCTCTGGGCCTCAGTTTCCCCAGCCTCCACAGGGGTCCTGGGGTGTGAATTATCACCATTGCCCAGCACTCCTAGAGCCCCCCATCTAAATGCCTTGTCCATGGCGGGGAGGGGGGTGCTGCTGCCGGCCCTCTTTGACAGAGGGGAGGCTGTGGGTAAGAGAGAAGGGACCCATGCAAGGTCAGCCAGCAGGGTGAGGACTGCAGCTCCATCTACCCCACCCCACAGGCCTCGAACTTCTGGCTTGTCTGGTTCAGTTTCCTGCAAGCTGGTCCCTGCCCTCCTGGAGGTGAGGGCTGATGTTTAATAAATAAGGGGAGGTGGCTCAGAGCTGGACGCTGGGGATGTAGGAACCCCTGGGGACCACCTCCCAGCTTGGGCAGCATCCTCTGGGAATACTATATAGGTATATATTTATATATAAGAAAAAACACGCAAATATATTAATATGTATTAATATATAATATAAATATATGAGATATACTTATATGTTTTATGTCAATATATTAATATATTAACATATAATTATATTAATGTATTAATATATAATATAAATATATAACATATATATATTTATATATAAAACATATATATTTCTTAAAGTATGCAAAATACTATTCACTTAGAGAAAAGTGCATACAACCTAAGTGATTAGAAAGCAAGCACCCCATTGTTACTACATAGTTGGCACCCTGGAAACCACCATGCCATGTCCCTAAGTCCCAGCCTCTCACTTACTGTCAGAGGAGCCACTATTCGGACTTTCCTGGAACCTAAACCCTGCTTTTCTCCATGGTCTCAGCACTTCCTAAAATATGCTCCTAAAGTATTAGATGGCTTTTGCCTGTTTTTCTATATGATATTAATGGAATCATATTATATGTAGGTTTTTCTTTTAAAAAAATTTTTAAAGATTTTATTTATTTTTAGAGAGGGAAAGAGAGGGAGGAGAGGGAGAGAAACATCAATGTGGAGTTGCCTTTCGTACACCCCCTACTGGAGACCTGGCCCATAACCCAGGTATGTGCCCTGACTGGGAATCAAACCTGAGACTCTTTGGTTCACAGGCCAGCACTCAGTGCACTGAGCCACACCAGCCAGGGCTATATTATAAGCTTTTCTATCTGCATTTTTCCCCACTTGGTATGATGCTAATGACAGTCAGCATGGCATGTATCTGTGACTGGTGCTTTTTCACTGCCGTGTGCTATTCCACGGCATGAATACTCAGTTTATTTGTTCATCCTCCTGTTGGTGGCCATTTGGATTGTTTCCAGTTTTTGCTGCTACAAGTAAAGATCCTTGTCTGTGTTTTGGTCTGGCGAGCATGTGCCACGTTCCCATGGGGTACATACCCAGGAGTTCCGATCTCTAAATCTGTGTACTTTTGGTTACGATTAGTGAAGGGGTCGACTTTCCAGATAAGCCACGCTCACCTCTGCCTCAAGGACACCCCCAGACATGGGGTCAGCCCTTCGGAACCAGAGCTGGAGGCTTATTTGTAGGCTGCACGGCAGGGGAGGGTGGCTGCTCGCCTGTCAGCTACATCTGAGCACCCGCACCTGATCCCCAACTCGTCCGCCACCCCAGGCATCTCCACCAGAGGATAGAGCCACATATGACTTACCTCGTGCTGGGAAAACCCTCGCTGCTGGCTCTCGTGCCTGCACGTGTGTGCACGCACAGCCAGGGAGTGAGGGGCCAGAGCTGTGTCACTCTAGAGATCAAGTCAGCCA